ATTATCCAAGGATAAGGATCCATGTCTAATTCTGGTTCAACTATGGTATTTTTCCTCCAAAAGAGATAATCCATATTAGCGTAGATACTCGGTACCGGGAAGATATTTTGACTTTTCGGAGTCGCTGAAAATGACCAGACTTGTATAGCTGGTGGGCATTCAAATATGGCATGAGTTACAGATTCTTTTCGTTCTCCACATCTTGGGAAATAGTTATCGCATCTCATATTACGTCGTACTAGGTTCCTCGTTACTGCCACTTGACCTGTTATCGATTGCCATATAAGATGACATATCCTTTTTGGCGATTTTATCTTCCAAGCAAAGGCTTGAAGCTTGGTGGTACTTGGCTTCAGCACTTCCTTTTCTTCCTCTGACTTTAATAAGTGCTGAGTTACCCAATATCCGGATTTGACCGTGTACTGGCCATTCCTAGTGTAATTCCAGCAAAATGTATCAAGACGATGAGTTGAGCTGATGGCCAAACACCCGATGAGAGGTATATCATCAAGGCTAACATAAATCCTCAATAAACCAACGTCCCACTCCTTCGACACCTGATTAATAAGGTCACTAACTCTCATGTTCGAGTGCATAACAAGGGCTAAAGGGATTATCGTCCTAGCCGGTATTATAGAGACCCACGTATCCTCCTATACCTTAACTTCGTATCCAAAATGTATCTTTTTCTAATTCCCAATAGAAATAACTTCCTTGCGGCAGAAAGGCTAGTCCACATAGGATGGACTGCTTGAAGACATTACTCTTAAATGCAAACTTAATCTATAGTATCTTCTTCTCAAGACTCGGGCCACTAACGAGTCTGGGTACTGAGCTAGTCTCCAAATTTGTTTTGCTAATAATGTCAGATTAAACTCATGGATCATACAAAAATCAATCCCACCCTCCTCTCTTGGTAAGAAGAACTTTTCCCACTTTGCCCACTGAATTCCTCTTTTCGGGGGATTTGAACTCCTTCAGAATTGAGTGACACTTGCAAGGTTCTCACATATCTCCAGTGGTAGCAGGAATCTAGACATAACATATGTCGGAAGAGCTAGCAAGATGGATTTAATCAACACTTCATTTCCATGTTTTGAAAGCCATCTGCATGTCCATCCATTCACTCTATGCATTAACTTGTCTTTTAGAAAAGTGAAAAGTTTGCATTTGGACCCACTTATATCTTTTGGGATACCTAAGTAAGTTCCCAGTTTCCTTCATTATGAATTCCAAGTGTATCTTTAATCTCTTGTTTGATAGCCGCGCTAATTCTTTTACCAAACAGTAAAGAGGATTTCTCGAAGTTAATACATTGGCCTGATGCTTAACCATATTTTCTGACTACTTTCATCACTTCTTCACATTCACGGAGCTCTGCGTTACAGAAGAAACGGCTATCATCAGCAAAGAGAAGGTGAGATATCGCAGGACATGCACGCGTAACGCGCATCCTCGTTATCTTTCCTTGGTTCTCTGCCTGCTAACAAGGCTAACGTGCGCTTGCGTGCATAGAATAAAGATGAAAGAAGACAAAAGATCTTCTTAACGTAGGCCTCTTTCTGGAATAATATTTTCCCTTGGTTGTTCGTTCATGAGCGCTTTGTATTTCACCGAAGTAACGCATCGTAATATACAGTTAATCCATACCTCTGAAAATCTCATCTTTCGCATGACAGCTTCAATAAATTACCACTCCATCCTATCATACATTTTGCTCATATCCATTTTAATTGCCATCCTCTTATTACATTCGCTTGGTTTGGTTCTCAGGGCATGGAAAATTTCTTGAGCTCATGATTAATGTCTAAGATTTGTCTTCCAGCAACAAAGGCTGACTAGGTTTCATATATACTGTTTGGTAGAACTTTCTTTAATCTCTGGCATAAGACCTTAAAGATTATTTTGTAACCGACATGACACAAGCTAATGGGCCTGAACTTAGACATCTCATTAGGCTTTGTCATCTTTGGGATAAGGTAAATATTTGTATCATTCAATCCATTGGCCATCCTCCCATCAAACATGATTTTATTAAGCATAAGAGTTAAATTTTCATTTACAATATCCCAGAATTTTTGGTAGAAAAGAGCTGTCATCCCATATGGTCCTAGGATCTTCTCTAGATGCATAGCAAAGAGTGCTAGTTTGACCTCCCATTCAGTAACTGGAGCTGTAAGATTTTTATTCATTTCCCCGGTAATCATCGTGGATACTCCAGATAGCACTTCCTCTATATCTTCAGGGTTAGAGGACTCAAAAATTTTCCTCAAGTAGTTAGTAGCAATGGCCACCAACCCTTCTTCATCCTCAATAACATTTATATTCCCTACTCTCATTTGCTTTGTTAGTGCATGGAAGAATTTTGTGTTTCTGTCATCTTCTCTTAGCCAGAAAACTCTACTTTTTGTTTCCAGAACATTTTTTATGCCTTAAGAGCGTCAGAGAGCTCCTTCGATCCTTCAGCGATTTCCTCAGTTGTAGCATCATCATTTGCTTACAAGCCCTCTACCATCTCTTTAAGCTCCTCCACTAGTCTCGCTGAGTTGATATTGTGTTGTTTTCTCCACTCACTCAAGGCTTTCCTGCATCTTGAAATATGTTCCATAATACTTGCATTAGGAGGGAGATCAGGAGATTTTCATCTTTCAAGAATGACTTTCCGTAGTTCCTCATTATCCAGCCACCTTTTGTGAAACTTGAAATTTCTCGATTTCCTCGTTGGCTTTTTGAGTATGTCATCAAGAATCGGACGATGGTCTGATCCCCATAATTTCATATACTTTGTAGTTGAGTGAGGAAACTTCTCATTCCAATCCGCATTTCCGACTGCTCTATCTAGTCGGCATAACAATTATTGTCCTGCTCTCTTCCTATATACATAGGAAAACATGTCCCCCGTAAATGGAAACTCAAACATCCCACAATCACTTAACATCTGTTTAAAAGGTAGAAACGAGCTATCAATACGTTATCTTCCTCCTTCATTCTCATTGTGACCCATGATTTCATTAAAATGTCCTATCATAAACCAAGGTCCAGTTCTTGTTGTTGTGAGATGCGTAAGACGTTCCAAAACTTGATCTCTTCTTTCTAGTACAGGATATCCATAAACAAACGTCATAAAGACTTTTATTCCATCAATGACTACCTCAATGTCAATCATTCTGTTATTTGAAAAAAGAATATTAACTTGAAATTCATCCTTAGAAAAAAGAGATAAACCTCTGTTAAGACCAAATGGTTCAACGGTAAACAAATGATCAAATCCTAAGTCGACTTGAATGTTTTGCAACAGCACCTTTCTGTTTTTGGTCTCAGAAAGGAACACAAATCCTGGATGATGCTTCTAACACATATATGTAAGACATCGAACTGTGAGGTCGTTTCCAGTCCTTCGACAGTTCCAACTGATTGTCCTCATAGATGATGTTTGGATGGGTTTTTGGAACCTGTCGAAACACCAATCTTGTTTGAGCTAACGTTTCCCATCTTTGAGTTGTGATGATGATGCCTTATCATCATGTTCTATTGACTATTTTTTTTAATAAAAAATTCAAAGGAATTTTTAGTTAACTTTTGTAATAATTCAATGGAATTATTTTAGTTAAGAAGTCAACAAAACTCTTCACTCCACCATTTAAGATGATCAGTGTCGATAAGATAAATGTTTCCCTTGATTCAAAGGTTGAAGCTGATCAAAAACATACGGCTGTTATCTTGTATACCAAATTTTCTTCAATGCAACAGTTGTGCAATGATGAGATATGAACGCTACGAACACTAAGCAAACACTAAGCAACCCGTAACGATAAGCAAGCTAACAAAGATGTAAAATGTGAGGATCAGATTTTCAATATGTTCAACAGCCTAAGAGCTTCAAGATTAACGCAAAGACAATCCCTAAGAGATTGATAGTGCCATGGTTGTCATACTCAAGACACCCAGAGAGAGATGCGCCGATGAGTTGAACCAAGGCAGCTAGGAGGGGCCAGGAAACAAGAGCAGAATAGAGGCTCGACAGCTACAAATAGCAAGAGATGTAAAAGTGAGATCCGTGAAAGTCCGAAGCAGAGATATCAGTGGGAGATGAAAAATCTATCACCAATGAGCAATAGATCATCAAAACTCAAAGATCTCAGTGGTGGACATTCCAAATCGCCGTTAGCATCTCCTTACACAAGACGAGATCAATTTGTGATCCAAACACTAGATAAACAGATGAAAAACAAAACCTCATAACGATGAGGTTCTATTCAGATGCAGAGGATGACGAAGAGGTGATCTGTTACTAAAGAATAACAGATCCGGTGATGAACAAATCCCAAAGAAAATCTGCTCAAACCGCCATTGAAGTCACCCTAGGAGTCGCCCTAATCTGCTCCTATATCCGTTCCTCTATCAAAGTTTTGCGTTAAATCGTGAATGAGAATTAAAATAATATAGATTTAGGTAGAATATCAATTATTTTATTGCTTAAGTTAAATTGTTAAAAAAAAGCATAGCTTAAAAATAATCTAATGACATAGATTTGTAAATATTGTTGAAACAGAAAGTCACCTCAAAAAAGGTCTTCTGTTTTAATAGTATAGATTTTATCACTAGACTAACAATACTTTTAACGCAATATTGTCGATATTCTATATAAATATGAAGGCCGGAAGCTGTAGCTTCCTCCACTTGTGTTCAGAGCCGCCACTGGTTCAGCGTTGAACGCGTTGCTAAATTTCACAAGCAAATCAATTATTAGATATATTGTTTTCTTATGTATCTTTAATTAACAGGTATGAGGGTCCATGAAATGCTGGAGCTTTGGCTGAATTTGTCAAAAAGGAAGGATGTACTTTCATCCTTCTCTAATTTGCAATGCTGTACGTACTAGTAGCTAATTAAAGCTAGTCGTCTGTTTAACCATGATTTAAATTTCTCAATCCTTTGTTTCTGGATATTTTTTGAAACACATTGGATGGCTTCCACTTCTCAACGTTTAATTAGGTAGTATGGTCGGTAATTTTTACTCTGATTTCTTTTTATCCATTTTTCTGTTGTAAAATTCTTTTTTTTTTTAGTTCACATAACTGTTCTTTAATAATTTCTGTTGATGGTGTACTTACCAAACAGCTTGCTTAATGGTGAACAAATATGTTGTTCAGGTACCAACGTGAAATTAGCTGCAGTTCCACAAAATGTAGTTGCGTTGACACCTGATAATTTCTATAAGATTGTATTGGATCAGAAAAGATGTCTTGGTCGGGTTTTATGCCCCATGGTAATACTATCTATTTCTTTCTTCGCTCTCATGGTTTTGCCTTAATATATTTTCTAATTTTGGAGTTTTACATTTCCCCAGGTGTGGCCACTGCAAGTCCCTCACCCCTATAACCTACTATTTGACTGATTTTGACATAACAATAGTCCACTTTCACTTTGTTATTAATATTGTTTTGGTTTTTAAAAACTTTATTAGACATACGAAAAGGTAGCCACGGTATTTAAGCAGGAAGAAGGTGTAGTCATAGCCAACTTGGATGCTGATGCACACAAAATCCTTGGCGACAAGTAAGTTGAACAAGGATTCTTGACTTCGCTGCTATTACTGTATGAAAGCATTTATATTTGGTGAAACGGAAGAATGAACTCAACTACCTTTCACAGGTATGGAGTAAGTGTGGATTCCCAACATTGAAGTTCTTTCCAAAGGACAACAACGCATGTTAAGATTATGACGGCGGAAAGGACTTGGATGTCTTTGTAAGCTTCATCAATGAGAAAGCTGGGACCAGCAGAGACAGTAAAGGACAGCTTACTTCAAAGAGAAAGATTACATGATTCCACAGAATTCTATCTAAAGTTCGAAGGCTTTTATTGATATATCTCTTTGTTAAAATAGGCGGGTATAGTTGAAAGCTTAGATGCGTTGGTAAGTAAAGGAGCTGGTTGCAGCGAGTGAAGATGAGAAGAAGGCAATATTGTCTCGAATCGAAGAGGAAGCTAGTAACCTTAAGGGCCCACAGCAAGGTATTGTGCATGGAATAAAGAGTGTTATTTTATGGTTCCTTATGAGCTTTCAAGGTGATTGATTGTCTCTCTCCGCTATATAAATATAAATAGGTATGGAACGCTATACTCGAAACTGGCAAAGAAGTACATAGAAAAAGGTTCAGGCTATGCTTCCAAAGAAGTTAAGCGGCTTGGACACGTCCTTGGCAAGGTTTAAAACAAACAAATTTCATCTCTCTATATAATAAATAATTTGCTTATTGATTTGCAATCTGCAAACAATAAAGGCTAGCCAATGTTTTTTTGTGTGTGGTTTTTTGGGTGCAGTCGGGGAGTCCGGTGAAAGCTGATGAATTCACACTCAAGAGAAACATCCTAAACACGTTGTTGCTTCTTCTTAGAAGCCAAAAGCCCTGAGAGAGTATAGGAATCAATAGATTTTATATAACTGAGATACGATTTGTAGAATCGATGTTTTGGTGGTTTTATGTATGTCGGTCGAGATTTTGTGGTGTTTATTTCTGAAAATTCTTTTGAACCAAAGTTTCTTTGTCTTTGGTAAACTACCCTAAAAGTCTTTTCTTCTTCTCAGTTCTTATGACATGGAAAAGTAATTCTTTACAACTACATATATACATGGCACTTATATGAATCAATATAAACTTGTTCTTTCCTTTCTTTAGCAAATCATAATATCATCTGAACAAAAGCTCACGGAAATATTTAAACCTATACCACTAACGTTTTTTTTTTTGTTTACTGGATAGCTGATTAAAAAAAAAACCACGAGGGGGGAAGTCTGGGCCTGGGCCTCTTACACAGCAGAAAAAGAACTTAAAGAAAAAGAAGATCGAAGAGTCGCCTTGGCTAAGGCATCCGATCAAAAGTTTATGGATCTAGGGATGTGAGAGATAGAGATAGATGCAAATTCAGAGGAAATCATGCGTATATCGTGGATGATCCCGACGATTTCTTTTCTCTGGTTGTTGCTGTTGATTGCTCTGACGAGCGTAGGTTATTGGTGAAGGCATTGATCTTGTCGAAACCCAAGGTCTTGCCCTTACCAAGCGCTGCTCTCATAGCTAGAGGTTCAGCTATAAGTGGTGAGCTAACGGAGTCGTGTATCACGGAGTCTTGGATACGATGTGGTAGTCTTTGACCTTCAAAGGTCCAAGCCAAGCCTGGTCTCTAGATATCCTTTTCCCAAGCCGCATCCGTCATGCATGTGATGCTCGCCATTGTCGTAAGATGGAGGTGGAAGCCTGTGTCGTTGGTGGTGAGTCATAGGTGATGTTTTATCTGTTCCTTGTGCAAAGTTCCACTCTCTTGCTAGCGCTAATCCTTTTGTTGCTGATTCCTCAGGTGAGAGTCTTCCATTCTCAAAGATAAGGGTGTTTCTGGCGGTCCAGATTACCCAGCAGATTCACGGCAGTATGTCTCTCGAGACTCCGATGGGTGGCAAGCAAATTTCTCTTCTGAAGACGTTTAACACTCCCTGGAAATTGTCTTCCGCAGCTAGGTGAACTGCATTTTTAGGGGTATCAACTCCCATACCTTCTTTGCAAAACTACATTCGAAGAAAATGTGCATTTTGGTCTCTAAATTATCGCATCTTGGGCACTTTGTGTTTGCTAACAGACCTCTTCTCTGTAGATTCTCTCCAAGGGGCAAGGCGCTATGTAGGATTGACCACATGAAGAGTTTCAGTTTAGGAGAGGTTGAGCTCATCCACACATCTTTAATCCAATTGATGTTTGAAGACGGAGGGTATGTAGGTTGCTGTAGGGAACTCACAGATGCAGCATAGTAACCTGACTTTGTGGAGTACACCCCGGTTGGTAGTGGTTGCCAGATTATGGAGTCCTCAACTCCACATTCGCTTGGTTTCAGACATTTGATTTGGGCCTCAAAATCCGGTAAAATCCCCTTGATTCTTTGGGAGTTCCACTATAGGTCCATAGTTAGTAGGTCAGCAACCCTGAGGTCTAGATCCCCTTCTCTTATCGGACCAAAAGGTTTCTCTTGAGATCCATACGTCTTGCCAAATTCTTGTAGTCTGTCCATTTCCAATGGTTTTCCCTAGCTTTTTCTTTAAAAGATCCCTTCCCCATAAGATGCCCCTCCATCCATGTGAGGCTACACTTGGGTTAAAGACATTTAGGAAGCTCTGTTTGTGGCAATATTTTCCCATTAGGATCCGGGCTAGTAAGCAGTTAGGGGCTGTGAGGATTCTCCAAGCCACTTTAGCCAACAAAGCTTGGTTGAATAGTTGAACTTTATCTACCATACAGGTGAATAGATCTTTCTTTTTCCTCCCAAAATATTAAGGTAAGCCTAGGTACTTGCCAAGGCCCCCTTCTTTACTGATACTAAGTATTGCTTTCGTTGTGTCTTTTATTTCAGGAGGTGTTTTTGAGGAGAAAGTGATGGCAGACTTCGCTGTGTTGATTTGTTGTCCTGACGCTTTACCGTACTCCTGGAGGATATTCATCAGAGCTCTACTGCTTTTCTCAGAGGCCTGACTGAAAAACACCGTGTCATCTGCGAAAAGCAGATGATTAACCAGTGGGAATCCTCGAGCCACTTTAATCCCATGAAGTGATCCCTCATGTTCTGCCCTTTTACAAAGTTCTGAGAGGACTTCCCCACAGAAAATGAAGAGGTATGGAGAGAGAGGATCTCCCTCGCATATTTCCCGGTAAGGTTTTACTGACCCATAAACTGTATCATTGATGAGATAGGAGTAGGAGACCGTTGTAATGCACTGTAGTAGCCAGTTAATCCATATCTCATGAAAACCGAGTCTTCTTAGCACTTGCTCAATAAATTTCCATTCCACTTTGTCATACGCTTTTTACATGTATGTCTTCACTGCCATTGTGCATTTCTTGACTGCTTGAAATGTTTTTAGAAATTGTAGCACTTCATGGGTTATTAAGACATTATCTGAGATAGCTCGTCCTGGGATGAAGGCTGATTGATTTTCTGAGATGATTGAGCTGAGTACTGGATTTAGACGTAGGGATAAGAGTTTCGAGATGATTTTGTTATAAACATTGTAGAGTGCAATCGGCCTATAGTCTTCTACTTTCTTAACGTCCAGGGATTTAGGGATCTTTCTAATAAAAGTTTTGTTTGTTGATTGTGTGAGTATCCATGTGGTGAAGAACAACTAGATCTCTGCCGTGATTGCTGGAGCTAGCACTTCCCAATTTGAGTGGAAGAAACTAATGGAAAAGCCATCAAGGCTTGGTGTTTTGTCCGCGTGGATTGAGAAGGTAGCTGCTTTAATCTCTTCTCTTGAAGGTCCTATACCACTAACTAAACACATGGTTTTAGACATTACAGTCCCCACTTCAAAAGGCCTAGGAATTTTAAAAAACTCAGTTGTATTTTTTTTTTTTTTTGTAAAAGTGCTCAGTTGTACTTTCCCAACAATAAAAGTGTAGTAGTTCACATGAGAGGGGGACGAGAAGATATCCAACGCTCACGATTCGTTCAGAGGGGAAGGTCGAGGGGTATTACAAACGCATTTAATGCAACCAGCAATCGTCACGCTGTAAACGCGCATCTCATTGCATTTTTATTTTAAATGAATTATTTCACCTAAAAGTTGTAATTAACGAAGTCTTTGTTGTATTTGTATGCTTCTTAAACTTGAGAGTTGACTTCCATTCTGGATAAAATCTCCATTTTCATTGTTTGTCGTTAGCTTTACTAAATTTAATGTTTTCCTACGTGAATCATTTTAGTTAATTCGGGATAAATAAAAAATTAATTAATATCGCCTGATATTTACGTACTCGAATATGCATATGCTCTTTATAAACAGACCAAAAATGTCTCACTCTCCACTGCTCATTCTTTCTCTCTCTAGATCTATATATCACATAAGACACATATAAAGCGAGTGCGATGAAGATAAGGTATTGGCGGACGAAGTCAAGAGGATACGAAAGGCTAGATGGCTCGACTAATACGTCCAACTCGGATCCGAGAAATGTGAAGCAAGTCAAATTGGATCCGACCAGGAAGAGACGGTTTTGGAGGAGGATCAAAATAGTGCCGAAGCTGAGAGTCTTGAAAAAGACTACGTCGCCTAGGAAGCTTTTAACGCGGCTTCGTGATTCTTATGTCAATATGATGCTCCGCCTCGCCAATTCTCCGGCCATAGGATCCTCATTCGGGTACGGTGGAGAATATGAACACGATTCGGGTTTAGCGTCGTCGAGGGAGTATGATGAGAAGAAGCTGGTGGAGATTTACAAATCCATGTTGATGGCGCAGGGAACTCATCTCGTGCACCGAAATGTGCCTAAACTTTCATCTGAGATTCTGAATCTATTGTAATCTCACCAATTACATAGACAAGGACAATATACCCATTGTGATTTGTAATCTGTGTTAACTTACAGTTATAAAATAATATTAGTAATAAGGCCATGCGCATCAGTGATGGAGGAGGAGAAATCGTTATTTAAAAGTCAAAAAGAAAAAAAATAAAAAAATAAAGTGACCAATAGCCAGCCACAACATGGCGTGGGACCGGGTTCATCCGCAAAAGGTGGGACGAAATGAGTTCATGAATATGTGATTATTTTATTATTTTTCTGTTTCGATAAGCGTGTGAACTTCTTGCAAGAACTATGAATGTGCATGCCCTAAGTTTATCAAATAATAGTGGATCCAACTTTTTTTTTTTAATATGGTTTACTTTTACGTCGGAACTTCTAACTACGTTCTTTTTCTTTTTAAAATTCTTAGACTTGTTTGCTTGACCAACACTTTGTAATCGTATCTTTATTAGTGGTTACGATAATTTTTGTGAATCTAACAACCAATTCTCAAATCACTGAACAAGTCACAAGTAGAGTCTATTAGAGCCGTTATTGATTTTGCATTGGACGTTAATATTATTTTGAGATTATCGTAGACTCGTAGTAATATGCTCTAGTGGGGTCCATGAAGCTAAGCCCGGCCCACACATCCCAAAAGAGAAAACAACACATTTGACTTTTATATAAAGCCCCCCTCTAAGGTGAATCTCTAGGTTCATCAACAAATATGATTTAGTTATTTTAAATTCCATATCTTTTTAAAAAAAGAAACTAAATAATTATTTTTTTTGAAATTATATTAGGTTTTCAAAATAAATAAAAATAGTAGTAATGACCAAAAAATAATTTTTAATATTTTTAAGTCTGTTAGCAAAATACTAAACTTTAAACCCTACCTTAGTTTATATTATCTTTTTCCAAAAATATTTATCTTTTTCAACAGCTAGATTTGTATTAGATTGTGGGATGCAACGGTATATTTTCATACTATTTTTGTTTATTTTATTTATATAAACTACAACGAGAGAAAATGTTGGATCTAAACAAGTATATTTGCTTCTTTTTTGAAACACAAACAAGTATCTATACTATTAAAACATAAGGCCTTTTTTTCAGGTACCCTTGATTTTCAATCTTAATTACAACCAGATACCACTACATATTTTTTAAGCTATGATTTGTATCAATCGGTATTACCTGATGCAAATGGGTTTGACCCGAGTTTAAAAGATTGACAAAATCTTATTAGTCCAACTGTCCAGATTTTTCTATCCGACTATCTAAACAAGGCCACTAGAATATTTTATAACTATGGTTTTAATTATAAAGCATATTCCACGAAAATACCTTTTAATCCAACAATTATTTATCTGTGCGATTTGGTCGATCTTGACTGAGATTTTCTATATTTAGTTGCGATTGGAAACAATGGAAAGAGGAGACTCTCTTTGTTCGTTTGAAACACAACGCCGTTGGAATCAGAAACGGTGGATTTCTTCTCACTGAACGTCGACGCCGGTGTGAATGAGGAGAATGTCGAAGGTTTTGTTACGCCGGTTGTGGCCTCGAAGAAGAGTAGAAAGAGGAGGAAAGAGAAAGAAGTTGAAGAACCAAGGTTAAAGACTAACTGGTTTAACGAGAACAGCTGTTCTAAGATCCCAATGCTTCAACTGCATAAAGGTAACAAATCCTTTCAAAGTTGAGGGTTTTGTTGAAGCTTTGATTCTCTTTCGATGTTGGTGTTGCAGAGATTGTAGATTTTTGCGATTTTCTCTTACCAACTCAAGAAGAGAAAGCACAGCGTGATGCAGCAAAGAATAGTGTTAGAAGTTTCATTCAATATATCTGGCCTGATTGCAAGGTATATAGAGCTTTTCTCTCTCTGAGTAACGTTTAGCTCTAAAGTGTAATCTCTAATTCATTCCTTGCTTATTCTTTTTTTTTTTTGCAGGTAGAAGTTTTCGGATCATACAAGACGGGGGTTTATCTTCCAACAAGTGATATCTATGTATGGTTTTTTCTCGATCTTTCTAGACTTCTTTTTTGTGGATTTTTAAAGAGTTTCAATCCAGGTTCTTCTCGGATCTGAAGGCTGTTACGATCATTTTTTTAATCATGATCCTTAGATCTTTGAATTGATTCTCTATTTTATATCTTTTGCAGAAATCTTCGTTGCAACAGCAGTGACTCGTGCTCGATGTTGCCTACCACATTCACTCCTTTTACTGCCTCTTGCTGCCTTGCATAACACCAGAAACTGGATGGTACTCATTCACTCTCTCCTTTCATACGTGGGTTTTGACCTTTGAGTATAAACATGTTACTTTTTTTTTTAAGTTTATATAAGTGTCGCTTTAGTGTATTCTCTATTTTTATTGCTTCAGCAGGTGGCACTGATGAAATTCACCAGCTTCCAAAGGAAGGGGACCACACATTTCCAGCGGAGCTTCTTAACTTTCTCAGAGAGATCGGATTCTGTAGCTTTCTAATATCTATGTAGGCATAGTTGTTTGAACAAAAGAGGTTCTTATGGAGTATTTTTGTTTCTCTCATACATCATGGGATTGTTCAGCTTGGGTTAGTATACTTATACATTGTTTCTTTAGGAATTCCTTGAACACTTCAGGGTGTTAAAATATGATACTGAGGCAAAACGTGTGCCACCCTTTTTCTCTGGATAATGTATCAAATATTAATTTACAGCTTTGTCTTGTGTTTCAACTTGATTTCCCATGATCGCCCACAGGCAGAAGAGGAAGATAAGTAGCGTGTCAATGCCATTAAAGAGAAAACAGAAACTCCAATCAAGAAGCAGAGAAGGCAACCAAACCAGTGAGTTTGGAGGAAGATGAGAGGTTAAGACATGAACTGGAGGAGATATAAGAATAGTATTAGGAAAAGAGAAGCAATAATGGAGACAAAGAGAAAGTCATCTCAAAAGGAGGTAGAACAAGTTGATCAAACCCCGTTCGTTGCTTGAATAGAGTGCAGCGACAAAAAAAAATAACAATCATGAGAAATTTTGATGCAGTGTGTTGTTGTATGTTTGCTGCCGGTGATGTCACTGGTGGTGTTTTCACCATTTTTATTGTTGCTGTAAATTTCAGGGGCTCCTACACATATTATTGTAGCTTGCAGCTGATTTATGCATTCTCAATCACATAATCTTAATCAGTTGCTGATCTGTCACTTTAAATCCTTTTATATTTTTGATATCATGGTTTTGACAGTGGGTTCAAGAACAAACAAGGCTTAAATAGTTAAAAAAAAAACAGAACAAAGACATCATTGGTGTGTTTGCTTTTTCTTTTCCGAGTCATTTTGTTTCTTTGAACAAGAACAAGCACTTCACTCTTACACATGACATCGAGCATTACAAAGTAATAATTTTGGAATAGATATGATTTGAATGAAGACACAATAATATCGTGAAACATCGTTTTCATTTGAATATAGACAACAATAGATGAACCATAGATTTTTACTTGGAAACACAAATTAACAAATTAAACACGGTTTCATAATATCTTTAACAAAATAGTTTTTTTCTTCATTTAAAGAACAGTTCTTTTTTTTTTTAATATCTAACTAACTAAACTGTAACAAATTTAAGCATTTAACTCAATTCAGTTATCATAATTTTATCTTTAATTTTTATAATATTTTAAAATTGTGTGATGATATCCCTATAAAAAACTTGTGCTTTCATTTTAAAAATATTTGGTACTTAAGAAATTAAAATATGCATATAACAAAATATAGAACTTCCTTAATTTCGAAATACATATAACTTCTAAGAATATAGAACTTGCATAAGTTCTAAGATATATATTCCTATGAATAACTTGTGCAACACTAAATATTATTAACTTTACAATTTCGAAATAGATTACAATCTAAAAAATATTGCAAAATTTTAATTAAGTTACCTATTAATATATATGATTTTCACGAATGAAAATTTTAAAATTTTAAAAGGATATCGGATCTAAAAAATTTCAATATATGTACATACAATCTTAAAATATTATTAAATATATTTTCTAATATTGCATTTTAAAAATATTTTTCATTTTTAATTTAAAATATAGATAGACATTGATTTTAATATTATTTTAAATAATAAAAAAGTAATTGTTTTTAAATCTTATTACAAATGAATACTAAATCATTTTCGTTTCTAGAATAAGAAATAACACTTTCTATATTATTTATATATACATAGTTCATATTTATAATAAATTTATTACAGTAAATAATATATATATATAAGCTTAATCTAATTACTAACTGTTTTATAAATTATAAATTAACATAATTATATATACATAGTAGCATATATTCATACAGTTTACATCGTTCAATCTATAATGCAAAATATTTAAATAATATATACTTTTAAACTTTAATATAACATATAAAGAATATTAAAATATAATTTAAAATATTTGAATTTGATAACATATAATAATAAATTTATTTGACATTAATATTATTAAATATATGGTTCATTATAATATATATTATGACTTACAATTTCAGTTTTTTTTTAACCTTATTTCAAAAAAAATATAAACATTATCAAGTATGAGACGGGTTGAGTGCAATATAATTAATTTATATTGGAATAAATACTAAATTAATATTATAATAAAATAAATGTTGACAAATATAACAAATAAAAATAAATTCATATTATGGGTATGGATAATGTTAGGATATAACACATCTATTTTGGTTCTAATTTGAATCACATCTTAAATCCCACCTATTTTTTTCGACATCATGGAACACCTAGTTGTCCACCTCCCGTATGAGGCATTACTTCGTGGACCTGTGCATTATGGATGGATGTATCAGTATGAAAAGGGCCATGAAAACTTTGAAAGGAAAAGCCAAAAACCTAGCAAGAATTGAAGGTTCTATTGTTGCGGGAAGTTTAACGGAAGAAACATCACATTTCACATCGTACTACTTTGCACCGAAAGTACGTACAAGGAAACGAGCTCCAAGAAGATAATGATGATGGTGGTATCGTGCCGACATATATGGAAGATGATGTTCCAGACATCTTTTGTCAAATTGGAGGAGATCTTCCAGGAGATTTATGAAGTTCAATTCCCAGGTATGAGTTTGAAATGCGTTATCTTCAAGTGTGAGTGGTACGACCCCGTCGTCAATAGAGGTGTTTGGATTAACAAGAACGGTGTATTTGATGTCAATGGTGGACGAATGTACAACAAATTCTTTTTTTTATATACAGTAACAAATTCTTTTTTTTTTATATCCAGGTTTCGAGTATTAATTAAATTTTACATTGATCTTTATTTTTGTAGG